CTCAAGTTCTTCTTCAAAGCCTGCAGGGTGCATTCAAAAGACACCCTGCCCCATGGATAGCTGTTGAAAAATTCTAAATCGTCAATGTAAGACAGCCAATCCAGTGGGACGGTCTTCTTCTCGTCCCCAGATAATAATACTTGTGCTAAAAAATAAATGATAGCGATCTTTGCTTTATCGCTACCTTTTATCTTCTTCCCTGTGAGCAATTTTCTTAAATCAGCAACAATTACTACGTGGGACTTAAAATGCTCCAATAATCTTCTATTCTTCGAAGCTTTCAAGATCACGTCCGGCTCTGGAGTTTCTCCGCAGTTCAATCCAGTAATTAATGCAAACTCCCTCATTCCAAACCAAGTTGTGGTTCCATTAACCATGAACCACAACTCATGTCTCTTTTTTGTTTCTATCCGCCTCAAAAGCAGATATTGTGTCAATACTCCAAAATATATCATATTTTCAGACATCGAAATAAAATGTCTGAAGGCAGACTCCTTAAAAATTTACATTTCTGTTTCAGAGTCTAGATTCTGCCTGATTACCTCCAAAGCCTCGATTTTTGACTTCATAGTCACTTTCACTGGGAAATACTGCCGCACAGGATCCATGATCATCTTTAGATGTCCGATCCCAAGAAGTTCACCTGTGTTGTACTTTGGGAGGTCATATTGAAAAAGAAGAAAAAACACACCGGTCAGAACCGACCAAAATGACAGAACCGACTAGAATAGACTAAGAAACCAACAAGAACCGACTGAACCGACCATGACCCGACCCAAAATCCCCGCAGAACTGACCAAACAGACAGAACCGACCAAAACCGAACAGAACCGACCAAAACCGAATAGAACCGACCTGAACCGACCAAGAACCGACCAAGAACCGACCACCAACCGACCAGAACCGACCTCACCAAGACCCGACCAGAACTGGCCATACTCGACAAGAACCGACTAAGAACCGACCACCAGAAACGACTTAAAACCGACCTAGAACCGACTGAGAACAGACCAGAACCAAAACCGACTAAGAACCGACTATGAACAGACCAATGTTGCTTATATTAAGTTTGTGTTCTTGCAAAAATATATAAGAAAAAGTAAAACAAGAATATTACCTCGGCAGATTCCGTTGCCTTGTCGACAACTGTTCGGGAAATGACCGTTTTAGTTGAGGAAGAAGAGCTGGTTTTTGATGCCATTTTAGTCAGATTTTAGTGAGCAGGTGGTCGGTTTTTGTGTTCGGGAGTTTGGTGAGTGGTCGGGGTCGGTTTTTGGTCGGTTTTAGTGGGAACGGAGTCAGTTTTTGATGAACGGTCGGTGTTTGGTGAGGTGGTCGGTCGGCCGAGACGAGAGAGATCGGAGAGTGGATCGGAGAGAGAGAGAGAGAGAGAGAGAAAGAGGTGAGAGGAAAGCCGGCGGTCGGTCGTGAGGTTGGTGACTGATCAGAGAGAAAAGCCGGCGGTCGGCGAGAGGTGATCGGAGAGAAAAACCGGTGGTCGGTCGTGAGAGAGCTCAATCGGGGGAGAGATGGTCAAGCGGTCGGTTTCGGGGGGAAGAGAGGGTCTAGCGACGGTCGGTTTTGTGAGGAAATGAGATTTTTGAAAATGACCTAGGACTAATAGGACCCATTTTTTACCACGTAAGATACACGTCATCATTTTTTTGTTATAAAAAAAAACTGGCCTATTTCCTCAAATTTTAATTTTCTCCGGTCTCTTTTATCAAATTTTCTCCTCAGAAACTCAGCCGCCCGAAGAAGCCCTTCTTCCCCTTCTTCGGAAACACTTCGCCATCTTCGCATCTCTGCCAGAAATTCCTCCGCCTTTCTTCCTCTCTCTCGCTCCTTCTCTCTCTAGCCACTGATTCTCGGCGTCGTAGGCTCCGATTTCCGCTTCCGCCGCCTTCGATTGTCGCTGTCAATTGTCGTTGTCGTCACCGCCGATTGTCGTCGTCGCCGCCTAGTTGCCGACAAACCCAAGATCTCTCCCCTCACCATCAATCGTCCATTGATCGATTCTTTTGGTTAGACTTTTGTTATTCTTTGAAATTCCTTAGTTGTAGAAGAAAACCCCCAATCTCTAGGTCAGTAAATTTTTGTTTCTGATAGATTTGTAAATGACATATTTGTTTTGAACAAATTTTTGCAGCGACAGATTTGAAGAAGAAAACCCACCTTTTCGTGTGGATTTGCTGTTTGAAATTTTGGGAATTGCTTTAAGCAATACCGAGAAGTTGGTTTTCCCTCTTGCTTTTTGGATTTAAAATTTGTTCTTTCCTTACCTTTCTGTCTTTTTTTTATGCGGTGATTCAATTAGTTTCATTTTCCTTCTCTCTTCAAAAGCTTAGATTTTGAATATCTCTGTTTTCCGTTTGGCGAAACAAACAATGCCGCTTCTCCTTCGTTGTTCAGGATATTTTGTTTGTTACAGGCAATATGGGACATGCTTTAGAATAGTAGAAGTTTATTTATCTTTCATTTTACTGCTCATAATGCGTGCTCCTCTCCCTTGATGTTTTAGGAAACTTGCTATTTCAGTTTGTGATGCACGCCTTATATGAAATCTAAATTCTTTTGTTTTTTTTTTCTGCAGGGATGTTTTGTTTGCTTAACTCTTGCTTTTGGGTGGGCTCTCGCTGCTTATGTCAGGTATTTGGGTCTACGACTATGACCAACAATAAGTGCATTGACATGGGCTGTTTGCCGTTCGTTTAATTTTTGCGGTCATTTCTAGTTGAGGTACATTTATTGTTCTTTTTCCTCAATTGCAGGAACAGAGAGATTAATCGAATGAAGGATAGTATGAAAGGTGGCAATAGCCTTGCGTTTCTTTAGCGTGATATCAATGAACTTGAGCACTCTCATCAGCTAAATCTGCCTAGGGTGTCGGTTGTTATGCCTTTAAAGGGATTTGGAGAACACAATTTACATAACTGGAGAAGTCGGGTGAGGTTGATGCCACATTTTATCCACACTGTTACTATCCATATTAGTTTGAATGTGCATCTAGCAAAAAAGATCGTAAGAATTAGTAGATTTTTTATTGCATAGAATTTATGCTGCCAACAATCATTATTCTTTCAATGTCTATTCTACTTTCTACTTGAACTTTTTGTCTATATTTTCACCATTCATTGTAGACAACTGTTTTCGGATCAATACCCTGTTCATTTAGGTTGTTCCTTTTGCTTTTGCCAGTTCTTATCTCATTTTATATTCAATCTTTTTGCTCCGGCTGCAAAGGCCAATATTGCTTTAGTGCTTATGTTGTTCTGCTTCATTGATGATTGCAGATTACGTCTCTCTATGAGGGCCCTCTGGAATTCCTTTTTGTTGTGGAAAGTACAGAAGACCCTGCTTACCATGCTGTGTCTCGGTTTCTATCGGATTACAAGGTATACAGACACTCATAGTATCTATTCAGGTCTGAATTATCTGAAATAGATTAGTGACAGAGAAAAAGAAATCCAAGTTGAATGTCGTGCAGTATTATGACTCAATGCATGCATCTTTTACTGATAAAACTTATTGGGTTTGCAGCTCTATAGGTAATTTAATTACCGTGTATAACTGGTACTCGCATAGTAAATTAGGGTTCCTTTGGCTGAATTTTGTGTCCTCTTTCTGGTCTAGTGATATGATGATAAAACTAAACAAGAAGCGAGCCCTTCTAAAAAGCCTAGAAAGCCTAAAATGGCCCAAAAAAAGATCCAGCAAATGTTGATTTCTTGAAATGCTGCCCCCTGGGATTTTACACTGAATGTTCTTGCTCAGAAGTTCAAGGTTTGCTGGAATTGGAAGCCCAAATTTATTTTTATTTTCAGTGAGTTTTTCTTGTAGGTCTAGAAAAATTAATTACTGATAGTTTATTGCTTTCAGCTGTTATATTTGATAAAAATTTAATCAGATTTAAAAATATACAAAACAGATAATTGATATAAATTTAACGGATTAAAGTAAAAAACTACTGATAGTTCATTTTTCTAAACCTACAAATTCCAGCAGTTGTTTATTAGCAAAAAATTCCAAATAGAGTTCCTTTTTAACTACTACCTTCATTAGTAGTAAAGAGCCTTATTTGATTGCGTCATTGATCTTGGTCAAAGAAAATGAGGTTTATTTTGTTCTGCAGGCTCAAAGAAGAACATATTGGTCAAAAAGTTACCAGATGAGCAATTCTCAGAGGGAAACCGTAAATGAGATTGCATTTAACTATTTAAGATATATTATTTTCTCCTCATTTCTTTACTACTAAACCTAATTTCTATCGTTTCAAACAAAAATAAATAAATAAATAAAATAAAACTTGGTTTTCCAACCTCTTAAAGGGAAATAAATTCAATTAACAAATACAAATTACAAAATGCACTAACACAAAATGGATAATCAACAATTAACTGTTAAAATAAGCTTCAAAAAATGGTAAATTGCGCCATTGGAGAGATCAAGAAATTTGCATTTCCTTTCTTTACAACTTAAGCTGAGAAAAAAACAAAAAAAACCAATCATGAAAACACATTAGCGTGAATTTGAGGGGAAGAGTAGCATAAAGAGAAAGTTTGAATTGTATTAGAATAATGAGTTGTTTTTGGACCACGCGAAAAAGCTGAAAACGTACAAAAACTGATACATCCAATCAGTTTATACCTAACTGCATAAAGGTATATACAGTCCCAGTGTTGCCCTACCATTAGATATAAATATATACATATATATATAGATAGCTATCTATTTATTAGGATGGTCCATAACAATAACTAAAAAAATACACATCCACACAAATTTATTGGTTGTGGGTCCCATCATTAATAAAAGCATGCCATATCCGAAAGAGCTATTGGGGTGTTGATATTTAAAAGACGCCGAGTATCATTTTCCGTCAAAGAATGCTTTTATGTCGCTTTTTGTACAATCCTGTAATCAACCTACTTTATGTCGCTTAAAGTATTGTACATAGTAGGAGACTCAGAGTTGATCTTGAGAGACTGGGAGACTCAGAGTTGATCTTGAGTTGATCTTGAGAGGAAAATCAATCAAATTTAGATTGAGATGAGATGAGCCAACAACAGCCTCATTGTCAAGCCACTATTATCATGCCTTACGCTCAGCCTCGGCTCTCATTTCCGGCTTCAGCCTCCATGGCCTCCATGCCCCAAACTCAAACTCAAATCCCGGTTTATCAGCTCTCATTTCCGGCTTCAGCCTCCATGGCCTCCATGCCCCAAACTCAAGCTCAAGTACACACTAACCTTCAGCCTCAAGCTCAAGCTCAAGTACACACTAACTATGCGGATCAATTTTTCATCCCTTTTCCTCCTCCTCAACCTCCCGCTTCAGCTCCGGCGAGTTCTTCTCGTACGTCTTTTGTATTTCTTCCCATCTTTTTCCTTTTCTGTTCAATTATAGGTTTATGCAATAATGCAAGCAATGGATTATCTTTTTAGGGTTATGGTTATTTTTTTTTTGTTTGACTTCCTTTATGCTTTTATTTTAGGGCTTTATTTTTTTTGTCATTTGATTTCCTTTTCTTTTTTCTTTTTACTTTTTCTGTGAGGTAGGTTGTTTATATTGGCTTAATCAAACAATGGATTTTAGACCACTGTGAATGAAAGCTTAAAAAGTATCTTACGGTACTTTAGTTTGCTTAATTTTCAACAATTTTTTGAAACAAAGAATTTGTTATTATTTTTATGCACACAGTTCATCATATTACTTACATATGTATCTTGAACAATATAAATAGATAAACCTGAACATCTAATGCACAAGAATCGCCTACAAGAATGGACTCAGAAGTTGAACATACCATTGCCCATTTATCAAACCGTTAATGAAGGATTTCAAAACGCCCTACAGTTTAGAGCAATTGTATTAGTTGATGGTGTCAAATATACTTCTCAAAAGACTTTTTCCACCAGTAAAGCTGCTGAACAAGATGTTGCTGAACCGAACTTGCGCTGAACTATATATCCCAGAAAAAGCCTGATGATGGATTTCCACGGGGATTTCCAGATGCATTGCCTCTTATTCACAAGGTAATTTTTTTTCCTCAATGTAAATCTCACATAACATTTTCTCTTTATCTAACTATTTTTTCTTCCTCAATCAGTGCTCCTGAAATGTTTATGATAAAATGTCTGACAACTTTTCAAGTTTCCTTTAATCAAAGAAAAAAATGTCGAAGTGAAGATCGCAAACTTTCACAATAATGCTCCATACGTCACTGAAAATTTAACAAAGTTCCTTTAATATTTTATTTTTGCATCTAGTCCCAAGTCTTGCATTTTACTATTGCTAGGTGAGGGGAAAAAAAACAAAAAACAAAATGTTAAAGTGCATAAATGAGGTGCAACTTTCTAGTGGTTATTGTGGTTAATGTTTAGTAAGATTTTATTTCTTTTTTGAATTTTTGAAAATTACACTAAAACAGTTCCATACTTATTTATTTTAGCAACTATTGGTCATTATCGATGTAGTGGTTTAACTAAACCGTTCTTGATTATTTTTCAGGACACAGTCTTTTGCAAGTCTATCTTGAATGAATTTACTACTAAGATGAATATGAAAATGTCTACTTACAACACCATTAAACCCGAAAGATTGCTTCCGGTGTTCAATTCTTCTTTGGTTTTAAATGGTGTTTCTTACACTGGTGGTGCCGGTAAAAATAAGAAAGAGGCTGAACAATTGGCGGCTCGTACCTTTATTTTGTCACTTTTGGGGACCTTTACTACATTAGGAATTACAATTTTGTTTCGAGAACACTTGATTCTTAGGAGAAAATGGTGTTTTCATGTGTGGCCATATCGTGGCTGACTAATTGAGGATATTGCAGGTGATTCTAAAATGGGGAGAGTTCTTAATGATATCATTAAATCTAAAGTCAAGCTCTATACTGCGTTGCATAAGGTTAGTAACCTTAGCACGGTTCCTTCAATGGCAAACACGGCGCATTGTTCTGAGGGCGTGCCTGGTAAAGGTGTTGGAACTGAAGCTGGTTTGGCTGCTAACAATGCTCCAACAGCTGCTAGTAGTCTCCCAACAGTTGTTGATAATGCTGGGGCCGGTGCCGTTCCCGACTTTGGAAATGGGGTGCCGACGTATGAATTCCTGATAGTTGGGCCACAACCTTCTTTTGGAGTAAACGATCTACTTGTGCGAGCCACTCAAGCAACTGAATTTCCAATTGCTGCAATAAGTGTAATGACCGGGAAAATTTTAAGTCAAATTCGGACAGTTTGGTATTTGACCGTAATTCTTCCCGGAACAGAAAGTAGTAGAAATATTGATGTAATCAGGAAAGTGTTATGTAGAAACTTTATATATGGGGTAAAATCACCCGAAAAGTGTAAAGTTATAATACAAATATTTTTACAGAGAAAATTCGTAAATATCAGTTGTGAATAGTGAAATATCGGTTAAAAGTTAGAAATTTTAACGAGTATATTTTAGTTATGAAAAATTGAAATATTTGGTAAATGACCAAATGACCAGTTAGAAAAAGAGTAGAAATATTAGAAGTAAGGAAAATGGCAAAAGTTCATGAAACAGAATTTTTCTGAATCAATTAAAGCGGGAAACTGTAAAAAAAATGAGTACCGCGAGGGTACGCGTTTTGGGCAATTCTGGATCGTTTTAAATGAAAATTTCAGAAAAAGAAATTGACTATTGAGATACCCAAGAGGATTGGGTTGAATATGAGAAATTTGACCCAGGGTGCTCGGCAGTCCAGAAAAGCAGTATAGAACCTGTACTGGGTGTGAAATTATCGGTACCAGAAAGAGACTCGCTTTGAAAAATGGAAAGTTTGGTCTCGACAAGAAAAATGTGGGGAACATGGAACCACTTAAATTAAGTGTTAAACTTAATTAGAATTAGTAAAATTAAATTATGGGAATTAAAGGAATTTCTTTAATTTAATTTAGAAAGTAATATTAAGATATTATTAGAAATATTAATATAATATTCTATTACTCTTCAAAATGGCCTACGGATGACATTAGAAGCCAAGGGAAAATCAAGGAATCACCCGTTTTCGCCGAAATTTCTTCCGTTCAGTCCGGTAGAAACATAACCCGGGGCATTCTAGCGGAGAATCTCAACTTTTCAAGGTAAGATTTCAGACTTTTCATGAGAAACTGCATGCTTTTTCGTTGTTATGAATAGTAACTCATCTCGGAAAAAATCCGTAAAACTGAAAAACGAAACCGAGGTTTTATCGGGGACTACGATAGGAGTTTAAGGTACAAGTATTGAAAGGATTGAACAATTTTTTTTGGATTAACACTAAAAATCCGAAATACACTAGAAATGGAGAAAAAGTGTTGTTGTTCATTTTATGTTGGAATTTGTATTCAGGAATGTGAATTTAGACTACAGGTACCGAAATCAGAAGTAGAACGAGTTATTGAAAACTCGGGAAACTAGAAAAAACAAGGTAAAACTCTGCCGAAATTTCTAAAACCTAGTTAGTAAGTATTGAGTTAAGAATTCGACTCTCGAGAATGAGTAACAGTTTTAAAACTCGGAAGTGAATAGATTATGATTCAGAAACTGAGATACACGAATAGGTGTAATTTGCCTCTTGAGCTAGAATTCGGCCTAGAGGGGTTAAGTTAAAAAATGAGTTGAAATTGGATTTAGGAATCCAAGTATGAGAAATTTTGATGCTTGGAATAGGTGGTTAATACCTATTTTCATGAAATAGGTTTTGGTCTGAGAGCGGAAGCAACGAGAAAGAACTTCCAGCAAGCGGGAATCCTAGCGGATTAACAGTAAGTATAGACATTTATGTTTGTCTGGACTCGAGTAAGCTGTAATTAGACTTAGAACTATGAATTTACTTATGTTCTTAAGTCTATGTGATTATATGTGATTATACATGTTTGGAGGGCTTAGTGCTCTAGATTGCAGAAGGGCGACATATGGTTACCCTTATGCACAGTTAAAGTATGCAAGAAGTATTATGCATTTTATGATATCATGTGCACGTAGAGAAACGTTGCATATCATTTAGTAAAGAAAAAGACTGACGGGTCGTCGGCCTCCGCAAGGGAGGGAAATCTCATAGTGTAGAGATTCTGACTAGACCAGACAATAAGAAATGACCAGTAAAGTAAAAGATTGACGGGTCATCGGCCTCCGCAAGGGAGGAAAATCTCAAAGAGTAGAGATTCCGACTAGACCAGACAGTAAGCAGGGGTCCAGGCCCACAGAAGTAAGAACAGAAAGATAGAAAACAGTTTAAAGCATGTTTCACACGAGCATATTTGCATCATAACTCTTAATGTAATTTTTATTAGTTTATGATATTTGCATGTTTATACTTGCTGAGCGTTAGCTCATCAGTTTAGTCGTGTGCAGGTAACAAAGGTAAGCAGCCAGTCATATAGTGGTTTGCTTGATGGACAGACGGAGGCAAGGGTGACGGAAATGTCATGGGTACACGGGAGTGGTCTCTACTACGCTCGCTTAGAAATTAAATTCCACTGCAAAGTAATGTAATATAGAATACTAGTATGTATGTTCAGTTCTAAGAAGAAGATATTACAACCATTGTCTTAGTAAAGAACAACGGACTGTAATACGTTAAGACAAGTTTTTGGGCACTAGTTTAACATCCGAATCCTTAAAGTAATAGCAAGATATGATATTAGTGTAACAACATAACATGATAAGAACCCGAGGGTTAAAGTAAAGAAAAAAAATTTACCCGCATATGAACGTAAATTAAAGAGATAATAGTCTAACAACAAATAATGGATTAGACTATAACTTAGCATATTAGTAGTAGTATAAGGAACGGCGACCGCGCCGCGAGGGCGCGGGCCGTCACAACAAGTGCTGTTCTAGACTCTGGAAATAGGCCGCCAAAGCATGAATTCAAGACACAAAAGCCAGAACTTTCTTTTGGAGCAAACAACCAACCCGAGCCAGCCTCCCAAGCAATTACTAATTCAATTTGTGCTTCCAACTTCTGCACTCTCTATGGAAACTGGTCCAAGTTTAAAGAAGTGCCATAAGAACAAGAAGGCTAATAAGAGATAGTGCACTGGTGTATAAGTAGATGAATTTTACACTGCAGTTTGATTTGGAGGTCACTACACTTCGAAGTTTGTTGTGCTACTCATAAATATATATACAGCGACTGTGTAAGAAAAACATGAGACACAAGTATGGACAAATAAGTACACAAAAAAAAAAATAAATGAGAGTGAGAGAAAAGTGAGTGAGTGAGCGATTCTTAACTGGAGCTCTGTAATGCGTGATGCTTAGACAGCGAAATTTTGCAAATGAAATTATGAATGCGATAGCTCCAGAGAGAGAAATAATGATGATATTTACTAGACGTAAACCACCTCACACACCTCACACAGCTCACACGTTGTTGTTTAAATTCTTTTTCACTTCTCAAAATAGCCCCAACCTAAATGAGAATGTTGTTAAATTAAAGTATTTTTTTATTTTAATCCTGTTACGAATATTAGTATGTCCTTTTCAAATACGAAAGTTCTTCACTCAAATTGTGTTGAGAATATTTTACTAACACATTAATGCATGTAACAAAATTTTGGTTCCCTTCCGCAAACTATATTTGTTTCTTACTAGAATATTATGTTGTAGTGATGATTATTTTTTACATGTTGAAACTTTCATAATTAAACTTCCTAATTTAGGGGGTTTATATATGTTTAAGCTGAATTAGTATTGTACTTTCGGGGCTTAGTGACACTGTTTAGACACAATTAAATTTGTTTCAAGTTTGCTTTGAATTTAAACAAATTAATAGTTTTCAGTTTTAGAAAACTGACCAATATATCAAACCCTATTAACAAACTTTTAATGGAGACAATATAGTGGCCGGCATAATTTAACAGTTACTCTATAACTGACTGCATCTTAAGGTGTTTAATTCATTTTTTCCTACTTCTATCTTTCTTTTAATGGAGACAATATATAGGCAGTTTTTCCTCAAAAATAATACACTCTATATAAAAGAAGTATTTCCTCCACAAAAAAAAAAAAACAAAAACAAAAAACAAAAACAAATGAAATGATGATCAAAATATATACACTTCGAAGTTTGTTGTGCTACTTATAAATATAATTACTTTTTCTCTTGATGTACTTTTTCAACTTCTAGCAGTAAGTTGATGGAATTGTTTGAGTAGGATATTAGTTTCGGTTCTTGAGTCTAAGGTGCAGTTGTTCATTTGTTCCTTGATATTTTAACATGATTACTTATCTTTCCTTCTAAAATCTATAGTGTTGAACTGTTTCAGGTCCCGGGGGCCATAAATAGATAGATAACAGCTATGCATATTATGGAAATTTCTGCGCCCTTTTTGAAGGTTAATTCTTGGGAATAGAGTGCATTTTCAACATGCTATCACGAATTTATAAGTCCACCGTTTCTTTTGAACCACTAATTTCTCGTTGTGTTAGCTTTAATAATCCTATTCCTTCTAGTTCATCGCTACTGCCTCTAGGTTGGAGCAATATCCATCTAGACACTGCGTTGTGTTAGGATGAAATAGTAAGTGTCCTGCGTTGTGTTAGGAAGGCTCAAAAGCTTCAATGCGACTGAATCAATAAGTGGGCCACAAGCAGGATCCTCCTCAACGCCAGGGTTATGGATGATAATCTCTATTTGGGAAGCATCTGCTTTGAAACCGCATGAATATGAATCCCATCCAGTTCTGCTATACATGGTTTGCATTGGCAAAATTCCCCAGTCATTTGGCTCCGAACTCGGCGAAACCGACATGTTCAGCTTCTCCTCTTGGGCGCACGTGCGCGCGGCGCTGAACGTTAGCGAGTAGAACCCTTCCGTGATCACCTTTACCTTTTGCTTAATTGAAGCCTCGTTGCCAAGCCTCCCTGCAAAGGCTCCCTCAGGCACTACTAGTAACATGTCCCCTTGTGTATGACCTGATTTTATGTAATCAACTACGCCTGATATTTCCCAATTAGGAATTGCTTTGTGATTTAACACTAATGTGCCTTTCATTTCTGATGGTTTTGGACCATACTCGAAGTTCCCATTTGGTAGGTGACCTGAAATTAAACATATATACGTTATCTTCATAAAAGGGTTGAAAATATGAAAAGCCTAATACAAAATTGCTTATGAAGGTTCTAATATGTGACCGATCCTATTATGTCACTTTTTTTTTTTTCTGCTCATGCTCCTAAAATTAAAAATAGTGTTATAAGACATAAATCATGTTGAACACCACCCACTAATAGAAAGTCAATCCTAACAACATGAGATCCACAAATGAGATCCATTTTTTATTAATAGTAGTACTTAGCACGGATAGTCTCAAATATTTTGTAATATTATATAGTCACCCTTATGCTTTGTTTTGTACTTTCCGGTTCTTTGATTTATAGGCATTAACCATAATTTCTCTCCCCCTGTTCAGCTTGAAATATGATCAAGCACAATCAGAGAAATTAATTGTTCGGCCCACAAATGCATGACTCAGATGTAAAATAAGTCATATAGGGCCCAGTTTTCCTCTCAGAAGTACAGTAATTGACACTAATTTATATCCCAATTCTTAATTACTATTCAACGACCAAGGAAGGATATGAATATTAATGCCACTTATATATAGATATATATATATATATATTTAAGTGTAAGATTGAGACTTGATGCCGAAAATAAAATTTTTTTAAAAAAAGATGGAGACTTGACGAGGGTATGTTGCAAATCCCATAACATGTGGGAAAATGATAAGAATACCCTTGAGCAGGAATTAACAATCTGAGGCCAGAAAGGAAAAAAAAGTGTCTCCATGATTAAAGTAGAGCAATAAATATATAAGGCCTAAAATCATGGAAAATTGGAAATGATTTATTGCCAAGTCATTATCAACTGGATGTACAGCGCAAACCGAATAGCTTATCACGTGATCAAATATCTGCATGACATGCAAATCTACTGGCTTTCGAAGTCTTATTGTGTTTTTCTGTATAATCTTGAATTGCCGTTTCATTAAAATATATTGTAATGAGCAAATATAAAATAGGATATAAACTGCTTTTAGTCTGCTTAGTACCAAGCGAGTCATTAACCTATACCTATACTTTTAGTGAGAAAGAAAAGGACGGCAACTAAATAAGAGAAGAAATTTGTAGGCCATTTTATATAAGAGATTTTTTTTTAGTACGTTAACATATTGATAGGATATATTTTTTTGTCTCTCAAATATGTATAAAATCACATAAAAATAAAAAAATATGTAAATTTAACGGTTAAAAAACTTAACCTACTAGTACGTCAAAGAATTTCTCCTTATATATATGAAATAAAAATGAAATTGACCATACGGAAAAAGAGAAGGTTTTGATAGTTCATTTATAGAGGCAGTGCATTTATTGTACCAAAACTGACCAAACAAGAATAGAAATAACTTAAAGCCCCAACCTTTCTAACATATTTTATAACACCACCAGATCCAATGAGAAGCAGCAGACAAGAATAGAAAATTAAGCGCATGCACTATAAATAAAGCATAAGAAATAATTAATAAACAATATAAGATCCGATTAAACTTCCTTGTCACTTGTTTATTTTTCACAAAGACTTATAAGACTAGCATTTGATCCAAAGAATCACAACAAGTTTGTGAAATATAAATAAAGAAACTAATCCTAGATCAAGTTTTCTCAAAAAAAAAAAGATAAAAGAAATTAAGAAAGACTAGTCGATCTTTTTAGTATATCATAGAAATTATACAAAAAAATTCGGATATAAAGATCACAAATTAGAGAGAATAACTAGTATGGTTCTTTGACCATAAACATGTAAATGAAATAATATAACTGAAAATAACCTTGGATGCGTGTGCGCGCGCGTGTATATATATATGTATACATATATCTTCATAAGAACATAGTACATAGTAAATTAAGAAGCATAATTTCTATTACAGGGGAGTTGGTCAGATCAGCTTACCATTTCTAACAGCCGAAAATACTGTGTGGCTGATGGCACACAGTAGCACTAGCACCACCGTGGCTTTGTACACCTTCATTGAGAGAGAGAGAGAGAGAGAGAGAGAGGGAGGGCGGGAGAGAGAGAGAGAGAGAGAGAGAGAGAGAGAGAGAGAGAGAGAGAGGAGGGTGTTGGCGTCGAGATCATAGAGGTGACAGTGGGTTTTATTTATTTCTGCTTGTGAGAATGCCACTGAATTTGGAGGAATTCACAACTGTACCACTAGAACTATATCCTCAAAGTGCCACCTTCCAGGAAGCCATTCAATATTCATGGAACGAAATTGTTGGGTCAAGGCTCTATTTATTTTATTGATTTTAATTTAAAATTTAAAATTTATTATAATAAAAAATTTTTAAAAATAGTTATATTTAATTTTTTTATTACAGTAAAAAATTATCATATAAAATAATATCTTAATTTAAATTAAAAATTTAAATAAATGAACAAACAGTCCTAAGATTTCTCGTTGTCTGTCCAAAATTTTTATTGTACTCAAGGCACACTCTCCTTAAGTCTTAATCCACTTATTGTTTGTACAGATGAAATGAGACAAAATAAATAAAACAATGCAAACTCATTGACTAGTGTTACACCATGATCGAGCAATCGAGCAATCGACCACTCTCTCGACGCTAGTTGCCGAGGACTCCCCGTCCTGAATCGGTCGCTAGCGTCGAAGGAGCAGCTGTAGCTAAGGTGCCCTCTGCGCCGAGAGATCATACGTGGAGAGAGGCGTCGAGGATAGTGACTCGACCTTTGAGAGCCACTGTGTCGAGGCATCCCGCCGAGTCAAACCCGTCAGCGGTCTTGTCAACTCGGAGAAGCAAGTACCGATCCAACGGCTACTGCAGGAGTCAGTAGATCATGCGGCAGATGAGAGGGGTCAGCCGCATTTCCTGAGATTGTCATCATGAAAACTCACCTACCCTCTCGAAGATCGAGGATAGAAGATGGCTTCCTCCTTGGAAACGGAGAAGGCTTAGCTTTTGTAACTGCCTATAAATAGAGCCAAAAGAACCCAGAAAGGGGTTAGACACCATTTCATTACTAAGAGGAGAAAACTTGTAACCGATTGAATATTAGTGCATGCACAAGTGGATTAGGCAAAGAGTTCTTGCCGAACCACTATAAAATTGTTGTCTCCCTTGTGTTATTTTTGGGGTCTTAATCTTTAATTGAACCGTGAGTGTTAACGTGAGTTGTTTTTGGAGAGGTAATCACGAGTTGTCAGAAAAACACTGTTAACAACTAGGTCAAAATTTTGTCTTTATTTAATCTTTTCTTGTCTGTTTTCTTTTTAATTTTATGATCAATCGATTAAATTTCCATTTTTCTTTGCAATGTTGCATTAATTGTTAACACTTTCTGTAAGAAAAAAAAACTTTTCTAACTGTTAAATATTGTTCTCTCTCTGTTGTTTTTTTTTTTTTTTTTTTTTTTTTTGGGAATCCAAATACCAAAGTATGGAATGTATAAATGAATTGTATAACATCCAGTTTTGTTCGTATATTAATTTTTGATAGGATAGGTGATGCCTCAAAACAAATTGTGATATGAGGAAAATATGTTTAATCCAAAAACAGAACAAGAAACCGAAACTAAAAAAGGATGGAATATCTTGGATTTCATTAATCAAAATAAAATCCGACATGTGTAAGCTTATTGTGCATAATATTTTGAGAAATGCCACATATCAAATAATAAATGAAAAAGGTGACAAAAATAATGACAAAAGAAGTGACGTTAGTATTTTTTTAATATTTTTGTAGGTTCACGTATTTGAGTAAAGAAATAGTTCCTTCAAAGATCAGGAAATGGTTTTCTGGGGGAGGTTGAAGACAAGCCAATTAATCCACATCTATTTCCTATTTCTTATTAGTAACTAGCTATAAAAGTATAAAACAATGTCGGAAAAAAAAAGAAAGCTATACAACAATGTCGATAGAGGGTCCTTCTTGTCATTTTGCAAGCTTTTCTATTTCTTCTTAAATAACCTCAAATTTCTATGCGCAAAAAATAAATTAAAAAATGTTAGAGAGATTGTAATATATCTCTCAATTTCGATATCACAAAATTGGCTTAAAACACATTCGGGAAGAGTGGGCGGACACAAGCGCGCGCTACAGCGCGCTTATTGGGCGCTGCAGCCTGCGCAAAACAGACCTCTCGGGTCTGTTTTGCTAAGCCCGCGCGCTGCAGCGCACAACAGTGTGCGCTGCAACGCGCTTCTTGGGCGCTGCAGCGTAAATTGTTAACGGAAAATGTGTTTTCGTGTGTTTTAGTGATCTGAAAAGGTCTCGAACCATTGCATCTATTTGTGATATGTTTTCTCACATATCTGAGCACTTATTAACAATAGAAATATCTATTGATATAAGTGCATCAGCATATAAAAGATAACCTTTAAAATTTGAAAAGGTATCTTTATGTGAAAGGTTGTAACACTTAAGGAAGATGGATGCATCCCTGTTTTTATTTGATGGACTTCAGAAAATACAGATTAATGGTTGTTCTGGAACTCAATATTTTTGCTGGATATTGTGTATAAGGGTTTGTTGTATCTTAGAGGTAATTTACCATTTTAAAACTCGTTAGCAAACTTTGAGAAGTGAGGGCAAATAAAACCTTAAAGGAAAGTATTCCTATACGCCTCAAACCCTCTTTTTGCTTTCTCTATTCTTTTCATCCTCCCAATTCCGAATTTTTCCAACAATCTTTAAGGTTTTAATTTGTTGCAATAGAGGTTGAAAAGAACATGACGTCTTTCCTCAATCCTAATATTCAACTTGATCGTTTTGATGGTACCAACTTCACCCGCTGGAAAGGAAAGTTGTTCTTCCTTCTCACCGTTCTTAAGATTGCCTACGTACTTGATCCGAAATTGGAGCCTCTTCTTGAACCAAAGGAGGATGATTCTGAAGAATTGAAGACCGCAAGGAAGAAGCGAGGAGATGATGAAATCATGTGCCGGGGTCATATTCTCAACACTCTCTCCGATAGGCTCTACGATCTTTACAACTCGATGGAGTCTCCGGTGAAGATTTGGAACGCTCTCGAATACAAATACAAAACTGAGAATGAAGGTACGGACAAATTTCTCATCTTGAAATTTCTAGAATTTGTCATGGTTGATACCAAGTCCGTTCTAGATCAAATACATGAATTGTAAGTCATTATTACTAAGCTTCGTGAATTGAAGGTTGAGATTTCTGAATCATTCCAAGTGGGGGCAATTATTGCTAAATTGCCTCAAAGTTGGAATGGTTATAGAAAGAAACTCCTTCATAGGAGAGATGACATAACTTTGGAGGAATTACAAAAATACTTGAGAATCGAAGAAGAGACCAAGTCTCGTGATTCCAAGAACAAAAATGTAGATTCCTCTAAAGTTAATGTTGCCGAACCTAGTAAGTTTTCAAAGAACTTCAAAGTCAATAATGACAAGAAGTTCAAAAAGCCTGGTAATGGCCAAAAGAAATTTTTTGGAAATTGTTTCTTTTGTGGAAAGAAAGGCCATCGCCAAAATGACTGCAGATACAAGAAGAAAAAGGAAGAAGTTAACACTAACAATGCCAATGCTGTTGAAAAGAAATCCGAAGACATATGTGCTATGGTCTCAGAATTGTAAATTGACATGATTACCGAAACTAACATGGCTGCATCTAGATCCTCCGATTGGTGGCTTGATTCTGGTGCCACAATCCACGTTTGTAATGACAAGACTATGTTCTTATCTTACAAAGTGGAAAAGGAAAGACAAACAGTTCTTATGGGGAATAATGATGCAGCGATGGTTGCCGGGAGAGGAGTGGTGGAGATTAACTTTACTTCCAGAAAGAAGCTTACATTGAACAATGTACTTCATGTTCCTGATATTAAGAAAAATCTTGTATCCGCTAGTCTTATGTGTAAGAATGGGCTTAAGATTGTACTTGAGGGCAATAATTGTATTGTATCTAAGAATGAGATCTTTGTGGGAAATGGGTATTCTTGTGATGGCATGTACAAACTAAGTGTTAATAATAAAGATGATGTGAATTCTCTTTATATTGTTGATTCTTTTGATGTTTGGCATGCACGTTTAGCACACTTAAATTTTAGATCTTTGAAATACATGTCTAAACATGGTTTGATTAATTGCAAAGAAATTAAAAATGATAAGTGTGAAATTTGTATACAAGCAAATATGACTAAGAAACCTTTTCCTAGAGCCGAACGTAATATTCAAATATTGGATATGATTCATACTGATATTTGTGAGTATAATGGAATTTTGACTAGAGGAGGAAAGAGATACTTTATCACTTTTATTGATGATTGTTCTAGATACACTTATGTGTATTTACTTAGAACAAAAGATGAAGCCTTTGATAAATTTAAAATTTATAAGGCTGAAATTGAGAACCAAAAAGACAAGAAGATCAAAATGGTTCGAAGTGATAGAGGTGGTGAATATTTCTCAAATGAATTTGATGCTTTCTGTGAAGAGCATGGTATTATTCACCAAAAGTCAGCCTCTTTTACTCCTCAAAAAATGGATTGGCTGAAAGAAAGAATAGAATCTTTACCGATATGATTAACTCTATGCTTCGTAATGCTAAATTGCCTAATAATTTATGGGGGGAAGCTTTACTTACAGCATGTCATATTCATAATAGGATTACATCTATGAAAACACATGTCTCTCCATATGAAGTATGGAAAGGAAGAAAACCAAACTTGATGTATTTAAGGGTGTGGGGCTGTCTAGCCTTTTATAGAATAATTGACCCTAAATCATCAAAGTTAGGAGCTAGAGGTATTAGAAGTGTTTTCGTAGGTTATGCTGAAAATTACAAGGCTTATAGATTATTGAATCTAGATTCTAATATTATTGTAGAATCAAGAGATGTTGAATTTGTTGAGAACAAGTTTAGCCTTGATTCTTCCATTGAATTAGAATCTAATGTTAATCAACCATATGTTGACATTCCTGGTACCTCCACTAATAAAAGGAAAGAGTCTATGACATCTTTCGAACCGAGAAGAAGTCAACGT